GAAATGAGAATGAAGGAGCGAGAAGGTGGAAGTGTAAAGGAGTCTAATGCTTCCATTTTACACTGGTTCAAAACATAAACCTTCTCTCACAACCTAACTCTAACCGTGTGAAATCAACATCAAGCATAACTACCAGTGATGTTGGAGCTGAAAATAAGAAAAAGAAATGGAGACCTAAATGCTTTACGTGTAACCAGCTTGGTCACATGAAGAGGGATTGTCCTAATGCCAAACAGTCACTAAAACCTGGAATTGCTTTTGTTGGAAATTTTGGTCTCTCACAAGAATGCATCGAAGAATGTAATTGGATTGCGGATTCTGGAGCTACGCAGCGCATGACAATGAACAGATCATGGTTTGTGACGTATGAGGCATTTTCAACAATTAAGCATGTTGGAGTTGGAAATGGTCAAACCATGGAAGCACTCGGCAAGGGAAACATAACTGTAGAGATGATTGTGGAAGGAAAATGCCAGAGAAACCATTTGGAAGATGTTTGGTATGTTCCTGAAGTAGGCAAGAACTTATTTTCTATTTCCTCTACGTTGGACGAAGGTATAATTTCTACTTTCAGCTAGGACAAATGCAATTTCTTCAAGAATGATGTTTTGGTTGCTCAATCACATAGAAAGAATGGACTTTTCATTACGAATATGAAAGTTAATCCTATTAAAGAAGCTGAAGCTCAAGTTGCTTTGAAAGATGATTAACAACTGTGGCATGCAGTGCCAGATTTAGGGTACTTGCGGCCCTAGGCCAAATTACTTGAGCGGCCCTCCTCCTGTGGAGGAAATTCCTTGCGATTGCGGAAGTAATCGTGAATATCTCCTATGCATCAAGGGGACATCATCATCGACACCTGTGGTCGTGGATGAAATGGTGGACATCTCTCCTAAACCTAGGCAAAGCCATCATAGGTATCCGTGACTGCGGCAAAGTCGTAAACATCTCCCGTGGGCCGCAATCACGGTAGACATCATCATAAACACTCGCAGCCAAGTTGAAATCATGAACATCTACCGTGGTCCGCAATCTTGGGGACACCATCATCGACACTTGCAACCGCGGCAAAATCGTGAACATCTCCCGCGGGCCGCAATCACGGGGACATCATTATTGACAACTCGTGACAGCGACTAATTCTTGAACGTCTCCCATGGGCTGGGATCATGAGGACACATCACCGTCACCAGCGGCCGCGGCAAAATCGTGAACATCTCCTTCGGTCCGCGGAGTCATCATTATGGTCACCTGTCATAGCGGCAAACTGGTGGCTCAAAATAAATTATTTTTATCTAAAAAAATGTTTTTCCCAATCCTCTGCGGCCGCCTTCTGCTTACGATTGGTAAATCCGGCACTGGTGGCATGAGAGATTAGGGCATCAAAATAAGCGTTGTGTTTTGACAAACCTGAAGAGCAATGGTATTGAATTCTCAAATTCAGGTACTAAGTCTGAGATATGTGACGCTTGTATTGTTGGCAAAATGCATTAGATGAGTTTTGGTACTCGCAAAGAACGTGTTGATCAACCTGGTGATTGCATAAATGCTGATGTCCAAGGTCCAAGTAGCCCAATGCCTGTTTCATCAGTTGGTTTGGTGGCAATCGTTATTTTGTCGACTTCAAGGATGAGTTTTCCAAGTATGTAGGTCAATTTATATTCTTAAAGAAAAGTCACTTGAAGCATTTCTTTGCTGAAGTTAAAAATATTGGACTTTCTGTCAGGGAACTGCTGACTGATAATGGAAAAGAGTTTGTCAACAGTGAAGTTAAGAAAATATCTGAAGAGCATGGCATGTATCACCGAACAACAATGCCATACACGCCACAGCAAAATGGTGCTTCTGAAAAGGAAAATAGGACATTAGTCGAATCAGCCAGAACGATGTTGCATGCTGCAAATTTACCAGAGAACTTGTAGGGCAAGGCAATCATGACAGCTGTGTATGTTCTATATCGAACGGGCCCATTATCAGTTGAGGGGACAACGCCTTATGAAGCATGGTGTGGGAAGAAAGCTTACGTGAAACATCTTCAAGGCTTTGGAACAGAATGTTTTGTGCATGTTCCGAGTGTGTGAAACCAACTATTCAACAACTGCAAGTTCACTCGAAGAAGAAGGACAGAGATACAGTTTCAGAGACAGATCAAAATTGAAGCCTCCTGTGAAACTTGCTGATTGTGCTCTTCTGACATGTGTTGCAGAACCTACTAAGTGCAAGGAAGCGGTGACATGCAAGGCTTCTCATCAATGGGTCAAGGCAATGGATGAGGAAATAAAGACTCTTGGTCGGTCCAGTGTTCTGGTGTAGTAAACGGCAAAAACGTGTAGCTTTGTCAACTACAGAATTTGAGTTGATTGCTGCAGATTGCTGCAAGTTTGGCTGTAGGGGAAGCAGTGTGGCTCAAGAGAATATTAGAAGCTGTAAGGATACATGAGCAGCAGTTTTCTTGTCTGAGTAAAGTGTCATTTTTTAAGGGAAGAAAAAAGCTTGCAGCATTTTTGAAATCGTTATTTCATTGTGTTTGACACACTATTTTAATTGCACAACAACTGCCTGTGTGTAATATAAATTATCAACTCAGTTCACTATAACCTACACTTTACCTTCCTAATCTAACCTAACTTCAAAACACTTAATACAGTCACGAATCCGCATAAGCCCGACTTGCCTTCCACACATGCCTAAATAAAATCATTCTGAAATAAGTTAGTCAGTGCCGTGTTGTTTCTTAGATGTTTGTAGCACATGTACTTTTGACTGACTTATTTTTATTCTCTTCCCTTCAATTTCATATTTTCATTTCAGGTTTAGTATAGTTCTACAAGTAACAGTTAGTTAGTCCGTTCCAAAATTCCGTAATAATGCGGCAAGCAGTAGCAGACTAGAATAGAAGGTAGATAAAGGAAATCAAAACGACAAATTATCTTAAGTTACCTTAGTTAATATTCGTGGCCTCGGAGACATTTTTGCACTGTTATTTCCTGATAAAAAGTGAGTCTTCTACTTTAATTACTTACAATTAACGTAATATATCAAGTATCTGGAGAGAACATTTCATAGGCTTATAAATAGGTTAGGTCAAAAAAACAAAGTACCGGTAAATAAAACTTAAAACAGCCGTAACTCCGTTAATATTTGAGAGCGCAGAAAAATTTTGGCACCATTATTTTCAGCTAAAAATCTAGTTTCTAGTGATATATAAATCTATATAGGTTCCCATGGTCACGTTCGTCGCAATAAATACCAAGTGTGGAATTGTGTAAAATTGGTGTATATTGAGGTTTTGGAGGAACTGTTGTTAGGGTCGGTTTTATTAAATTTCAGTCAATATTTGGGACTGGAATTGCTTTTCCCCCAATTACTATCCTCCAAAACTTTATTTTATACACTTTTTACACAATTTCACACTTCAGGAAGTGTTTTTAAGCTGTGGTCTGGGTTCTAAATTTTTACCAAAAAATCTAACATCCAGGCCGTCTTTGTATTAAATAAGCGAAGGTTGCTATGTCATCCATGGTGATTTCTAGAACACGATATAGCCCAATCGAAATCAAATACCGAAACTTATCACATCACTAAGAGAGCGGATACACTTCCATATCTGTTGGCACAAACAACTGAATGAGTAATATTGTTTAGTTTGATATATCGTTTGGTTAGGTAGGTTAGGTTAACCTTACCTAACTAACCAAACGATATATATCGAATAATCGATATATCGATCGATATTTTCATTCGGTTGTTTGTGCCAACAGATATGGAAGTGTACCCATTTATTAACTGAAACTGTCTTCCAGTCGTAGTCGCGAAACTTGTGCCCCATGAATGAAAACGGCATGAAAAATTATGCGCTATTTGTGCCTCGACATGTGCCTGCGACTTGTAGTAACTTAATGGAAATGTAGCTTTAGTGGGGGCGGCCAGCTAAAATCTCTTGACCCTCCGAGTGTCCCTAGTTTTGGCCTTAATGTTTGCCTATTTTTTGCGCATTTGCAAGGTTTTATTAAAACGGATCTGAGAAGCTTAAAAACAATGTTAATTATACTGTTCTATATACCATTTTGTTTGGAAAATCATGGGCTTCAATGTTATACATAAAACATAAGGAACATTTGTTTCAAAAACTTTTTAGGTAAAAAAAAAATATTTTGGAAAATTTAAAAAAAAAATAAGTTTGCGCTCAATGAAATTGCATAAATTATAGGCCTATAAATATTTGAAAATTGCCACTTTGTTCTAAATTTTATGAGGATTACAAATATATAATAATATAAGGAAGCAGATTTGCAAATAAATAAGTTATGGGCAAAAAACAGATTTCAGTACATAGCGTTTAGCTAAGAATGCATAGCCTAACCATAGCTAGGAATCTGGCTGATAATTTATATCAATATCACTAGTACCTACTTCTTCAGGATCATCAACCAGCCCTTCAAAATCACTTTAATCTTCTTATAATGCACCACGTATATCACTACTTTTGATTTTTAACACTAAAACAATGATAAACGTAATAAAACACATCAGTCATCGGTGCGAGGTTAACCAAGCTGTTTACAAATACGCACGTCAGCTGTCTACTACAATTATGATCGGCTTGAGAAAAAAAAGCGCTTAGACAAGCGCTCTGACAGACTTCGGGAGAAAGCTTAGAATATGCCAAATAAAACGATACCTAACTCGATCCAGTTCAATCCGATTTTGTCAGTCATAGAGCCTTCGCCGTAAACAGTGTTTGTGAGTCGAAAAATCGACACAAAACACTACACAAAGTGTGTTATGTGATTTTTCGACACATAACACTAGGAGGGTTAAACAGTACCATAAGGCAACCCTATTAGAGATATGTGAGCATTTTAACCCCTATATTGTATTATCTTCTCCCCTAAACTAATGCTTGATTTATTTTTACCAAAAACCTTCCTATTTCACATGGTAAATATTTATCAAAAACAAAGTATTTTGAAATTAATTACTAGAAACAATGAACTTACCTTCCCCAATTTCTTGCCATTCATTAGTGAACTTCCTTTTACTAACAGAGTTTTCATTTAAAACGCCAGCATTTAAACTTAGCCCTACCAATTGAAGGGCTAACAAAGCACAGATAAGCTTACTAATTTCCTTAACTTGTGCTCCCATAGTAGGCTTTTTGCCTACAAAACAGTAAATTAAGAATATTGTTTAAGTAAGTTAGCCTAAGTAATTACCAAGTTAATGCTTGTCTGTCACCATCAGATGCTAAATAATAATTTAATACAAATAGTCAACAATAATTAATAGAATACTGTAACGCGGTTGAAGGTTTACTGACTTTAACAGACGACACGAACGACATGAAATGAAAAAGATTGACATGACGATGACGACATGACACATCTTCTGCTTCTGACTCAAACCATAGACCACAGACTAGCCGACAAGACGTGGACCACTGAGCTATAATTCTAACTGGAGGTAGCACTGAATGTCAAAGATGCGTGTCGCCAGCCGCCATGTTTGCGTGAGGTGTGAGTTATAAAGAAGCCATGTTATTGGATGAAAAAACTCACTGCTATACAGACCTAGTTATAGAAGCCATGTCATTGGTTAAAAAAACTCACTGCTATACAGTGTGTCCACAGCTTGTACAATTGTACAAGATCTAGTACATTTTGATATTTTCTTGTACCCTAGTACATTGTTCACTGAATCTTGTACATTTTCCCTCAAAATCTGTTTTTATAAAAATTGAAAAATACATGCAGTTTGGGGGATTTTAAAGTTTATAAATAACAGTTGGTAACTCCGGATTTTCATCTCTTGGTTGAATTGTAAAGACCATACTATGTAATTTTATAAAAATAAATTAATTACCGGCTTAAATAAAATAAATGAATGAGCAATAATGTACTACCATCCTTAGTGGATTTTTCATTCTTATGGAACAGCTGAAGCCAATTTTATTGTTATTTCTGCCCGGTGAACTGTATAGAGGTGATGTTTTGTTTATAATTTTTTCTTGTCATTCCAGTTAGTTTCTTTTAAAACTTCGTTTAACAATTAAAAAAAAATTATCTTATCATAAACAATAGCTTGTCTCCTAGTTATATAGTCACACAGTATAGCCATAGACTAACCAACACAAGTAGACTTCTCATCCCATTGTAAATTTTGAAGCTTGTTTTTCATATCTAGTTCATGTACGCCACACTGGGCGCTAGTGTCGACGAAATTTTGTTTCTATTATTTTAGGGTTAATTTCTTGATTTGTGCTTTACTGTTTGGTTAAATAACTAGGGGACAATGTATTGTTTATGATTATATCGTATTATTTGGTTAAACGAGGTTTTAAATGACTGTATTAACGGGAAACAAATTGTAAACAAAACACGACCTCTACATAAACCGTACAGAACTAACAATAAAATTGTCTTCAGCTGTTCCATTAGAATGAGAAATCTACTAAGGGAGTATGTTTTATCTATGGTATAGCGCAAATAATGAAATCAACCCTAAAATAAAATAATAGAAACGGAATTTCGACGATACTAGCGGTCAGTGTCACCGGACATGAACTAGACACGAAAAACGAGCTTCAAAATTTACAATGTGATGAGAAGTCTACTTGTGTTATGAAAAAAGTCAGAATTCTGCATTTAAAGTCAGAATATAACTCTAGTAGGTGTTCACTTCTGAGATTAAAGTCAAATTTATCAAAAGGGCGTTCCTCTCTATCAAAAAATTACAACTATAAGTTTTATGTTAAAAAGTGAAGGCGAGAGGAGACCTGATTAATTTATGGTTGTATTTCTATGGGAGCGTGTCAAGGTGCCACCACAACAAGGATAAAAACGTCAAAAAAACTTTGGTTATTCCAAGGCCACACTAAAAAAACGTTATTCTCTTGTATAACACAGACAGAGAGCCAAAAAATAGCATTACTCTATCTTTTGTGAGATCTTGTACCTACAGTAGGGAATCTTGTACATTTTTCAGGGAAATTTAGTACCAAAAAGTGGTACCCCTGTGGACACACTGCTGCTATACCAACCTAACAAAATCAGCGACACGCTCTTGACAGACTTCTGCCATGACAGTGCTACCTCCAGTTATAATTTTAGCTCAGTGACGTGGACACACTGAGCTAAAATTATAACGTGGACAATATTATCATGTTTGGCTCTGTCGACGTTGAATCATAGATAAAACCATAGACTAACCAACACAAAACCATATAAAACCATAGATAAAACATACGCCCTTAGTTGAATCATAGATAAAATACCCCCGCCGCAGCAAACCTGCCGTCTAAGCGAATTTCCATTTGTCTTAATTGATTTTCAATTAAATATATTTTAATAACATTAGGTTTAACGAGTACCTAGGTTTGCTGCTACAAGGAAACTAATAAAGTGTGTTTTTTTGTAAAATATTGATAGCTTAGTACAAAATAAATAAATTTGATCAAAATACAAAATATATCCATAAACAAGCAAACTACAACATTTGACAATATTCTCCATAAGAATAACATGGGAATTTTAAATTTTCTCCGTTACTATTAACCGAACAAAAATACTTTTAATATACTAAATTAATTGTTTTTTTAAGCTCTTTAAAAAGATCTAAAGAGAAATTGGGAAAATTTGTGTTTTGAGGGTAAAAAGTGAGAAAAACCAATTTTTACCCCATAAAACCCCCCGTAAAGCCCCGTTCCCATGGTCCGATCATGCTGGTTCGCGAACTCATTCAAGTTTATCCCGCTTTACACCTTTAAACCAAATTTCATCAAAATCGGACAAAAATTACTCAAGTTATCGCGTTCACGGACGTATATATACATATATATAAATTTGAACAAATGGTGTTTTTGGCCTCTGGGGACATCAAAATGAAAAAGTAAATCGGTCCCGGGTCTAGGTCTTACCGTGCCACCTACGGTAATAGCTACTTCCCTATAGGGAAATTCGCTAACATACTCCCTTAGTAGATTTCTCATCCTTATGGAACAGCTTAAGACAATTTTATTGTTAGTTCATGTACGGTTTATGTAGAGGTCGTGTTTTGTTTACAATTTGTTTCCATTTAAAACCTCGTTTAACCAAATAATACGATCTAATCATAAACAATAACTTGTCCCCTAGTTATAAAACCAAACAGTAAAGCACAAATCAAGAAATTAACCCTAAAATAATGGAAACAAAGTTTCATCGACACTAGCGCCTTTGTGTCACGTACATGAACTAGACACGAAAAACGTGCTTCAAAATTTACAATGGGATGAGAAGTCTTGGTTGAATCTAGATCGAAGTTGCGTACGATCATAGCTTATAGACCATGAGCCACCAATATGAAACCCTCCCCCCCCCGTGGGAATTTATGACTTATACTTTTTTTGTTGGTATTACCATGGTATTACCTACCAGATTAAGAATTCAGTTCTTTGCCTCTTTTAAATTACAGCGTATTCCGGAAAATAAAGAAAAACTGTTAAATTTAAAAACTGTTTTATTTAAATTACATAAGGGTAGCCTGCGTTAATTACTGGTGAAATATTTTTTTATGGACTTCTTCAGTATGTATTCAAAGGCTTCAAATGAAAATAAAAAAAGTTAATAAAATACCCCCGCTGCAGCAAACCTGCAGGCAATGCGGATTTCAAATTGGCCTGATACAGTAATTATTTACCTATTTTGCCTGAAGGTCTTGTAGTTAACACTCGATTAACACTCGATTAACACTCGATGCGCATTTCGCCACTCAGTGCGGCATCTTCATAGAGTATCTTCTTAAACACTACTGTTACAATGTACATATTTACAATATATTTTCCAATCACTAACCGGTCACATTCGCGGTCGCGGTTTCCCGGCGGCGACACGAGCGGCGGGGTACATTTCGTTCCGCACTGTTGACGTGATGGACTTGTACTCATGTCACTCACGTGTGAGAGTCAAAATTTATCAATCTTGTCACGACCATAACGGACGTTTAAATGAATATTAAAAATAGTTAATATTTTTTTTATAACTATGTTTCGCTATAAATTAATTTACTTTTATGACCATTATACAATATTAAGGTCACTAAACTTTTGGTATATTTGGTCTTTCCAGAAAAAAATAAAAAACTCAAAAAATTGAAAAAAAGCCAATAAAATCTTTTTAAGTTTGTATAACTCCGAAAAAACTTACCTGAGACCCGAAAAATCGTTATGTTTGTATAAAGGTGTGCTTCTTTTGTGTATAAAACATTGAAATATGATGATATTTTAATTTTTGAAATTTTTATGATAGAAATCATAAACGTGATGGTCAGGGACAAGCGGTACGGTTGTATTGTTTTATTTACTCTGAGGTAAAACTAATATTGGTTTAGTTGCGGACTACATAGCCAGTGTACGCATACCTAGCTCAGTATAAAATTTAGTTTATATAGTTTAAGTGTAATGAAGAATTTTATAAAAAGAACAAAATAATATGAATGTAAACAATAATTTACATACAATTGAATTGAACAAGAACATGTGTTCAAAGGGAAAAATATACCAAAATCTATATAAATAAAATTACAGTTTTATCTGTACATTGCTTAGAATCATGCAGTTTTTGGTTATTTTACGTTTCATAGCCTAAGAAAGCCGAAAATGTCTTATCTCAATTTCTGTCTGTTTGTCCATTCTGTGGTTCCGTCTGTAACGCCAGCAAAATGTCATTTTACGCGGCCTACTCCTAGAAAACTAGAGTACCGATCAAGGTTCTAATCATTGTTCTGTATTAACTGGAATGGTGAGAGTGTCTTTGGCTATAAAAACATGGCCTTGCTTCTTTGAAAACAAAATAACGAACCATCAAAAACCCAACTTTGTTCGATTTTTGTCAAATTTTATCCCAATGTTTACTATTACTTTTATGAAATAATGATCAGCTGTTTGGATTAGTTCTCACTTCTATAGCTGTCACTGATGTTTACATTAAAAGTTGTTTACAAATACCGCAACCATTTCCGATCAAGTTTTGTTAGCACATCCAAACCAAGTGAGATTAAAAACGTGTGCCTTACTTATCCGGTTTAATTAATCGCAAGTGCAACGATTGTTCTTGAGTTTTGATAACCGGGGAAAATACTGCGAATCAGTGTTGTATAGTGTTGCGAAACTTGCATTTTTTTATCATCGTCACCAATAGCTTACAAAAAAGGTTTCCAAATCATTGATGGCGCTTCAAGGACAGTTGTGTAAAGTGCAAAGTAAAAAATCACAACTGCAGTGGGTGGTCGTGGATGTTGCTGCGATCTTGGAAAATCTTTCTGATTTCGCTGTGATCGTAACAGAGGTTTAACATACAGATGTAGCTAAACTCGCTTTTCCAATGTGTCACTTT